GTTTTAGGGGATCTGACATCCATTCTGGCCTCTTCTGGTACTAGGCATGTATGTGGTATAAAGACAAACATACAGCTAAATTGTTCATGATAATAATAATATCACATTTGAAAAGCCATGTATTCAAATTATAGGCATAAATGAAGAAGAATCCTAAGTCAATGAGATAGAATGGCTCTTTAAAAAGATTATAGAAAAAATATTCTCTAAACTAAGAAACTATAAACCATATACATACAAGAAGCATACAAATTCCAAATCAATAAAACAATAAAAAAATTCCATATTGAATATCACAGTTAAAACACAAAACATACAGAACAAAGGAAGAGTGTGCAAATATGTAACAGAAAAAAACAAGTTATATATAAAGAAAAATCCACCATAGCAGTACTTAATTTCTCATGGAAACTTTGAAAGCTATCAGAGACTGGAGCAATGTATGTCAAGTTTTAAAAGACCTCACATGCCAACTTAGACTACAGAACCAAGCAAAACTATCTTCGACAGATGAAGGAGAAAGAAAATGAACCATAATAAAAATAGTCTAAAGGGGTTCATGTCCATGAGACCATCCATACAGAGGACTACTTTAGGTGAAGAGATGTATAAACATGGCCAAGAAACTTCAGAAAGAAAACAAAGGAAGTGATAATCATGGATGCACAAAGTATGCCTAAGAACACAAATAGTAAAAACACAATAAAATGACTAAAGTCAATAGACACCTTTCCATGATAATCCAGATCTAGAAATACACATATCACATGTTCACTCTCATGTTCCTAACTAAAAATCTGCAGGTGTGAGTTAAAAACTAAAGACACCAGACACCAACAAAGTACAGAAGAACCATGTGAGGGGAGCTTAGAAAGGGGAATAGCAGGAAATAGATAATATGAAGGAGGAAATGGGAAAAAAGAGGAGGGAGAAAGAGGACAGAGCATTAGTTGGGTGAGAGTGAGGAAGGTAACACAGAAGCAGAGGGAGAGAAGAGAGACATAGACTACAGGATGTTCGATGATGTCTCGAGGAATTGTATTCTTTTATGTTCACCTAAAATCACACACACACACACACACACACACACACACACACACACACACACACACACAAACACACACCTTAAACTAATTAGGGCCACCTAGGCTGACAATGTTCCCCACAAGATCTATAGACTAACTAATAAACACCAAGTTTCTTTATTTCTTACTATCTATACTTTTGGATATTATTTCTCCTTTTTGATATCTAGAGCATTCATATGTGCTGTTAAGTGGCTATTATAAGATCTCTCAATTTTTTCTTATGTAGACACTTCCTACTATGAACTTGCCTCAGAACTACCTTCCTTGTGTCCAACTGGTGTGGATATGTTGTGTTTTCATTTTCTTCCAATTCCAGAAAGCTTTTCATTTTTGTCCTTGACCATTTTCATTATTAGTGACTTATTCAGTTTCTATGATTTTATGAACTCTCTGTTCTCTCAGTTATTGGTGGTGTTCATGGTGGTCAGAAAGGATGAAAGATGCTATTTCAATGTTCTTATGAGTGTTGAGACTTGCTTTGTGTCCAAGTCTATGGTCAATTTTGGAGAAAGTTCCATGAGGTTCTGATAAGAAGGTACATTCTTTTGTGTTTGGGTGAAATGTTCTCTAAATATCTGTTATGTCCATTTGGATTGTGTCATCAGATAGCTCCAGCATTCCTCTGTTTAGTTTTTGTCTGGAGGACCTGTCCAATGGTGAGTGTGGGGGATTGAAGTCTCCCACTGACAGTGTGTGTGTGTGTGTGTGTGTGTGTGTGTGTGTGTGTGTGTGTGTGTGTTATTTAAGCTGAAGCAGTGTTTATTTTACAAACTTGGGTGTCCTTGTTTTAGTGCATAGATTTTAAGAATTATTATGTTGTCACATGAATAATAAAAACCCAGAGACAGTTATTAGGATTCAATCTGAAGATTAGGAAAGTAAAGCAAGCACACCGGGCGTTGGTGGTGCATGCCTTTAATCCCAGCACTCAGGAGGCAGAGGTAGGTGGATCTCTGTGAGTTCGAAGCCGGCCTGGTCTTCAGAGTGTGTGCCAGGATAGGCTCCAAAGCTACACAGAGAAGCCCTGTCTTGAAAAAAACAAACAAACAAACAAACAACAGAAAGCAAAGCAAAGCAGCCACGAATCCTCAGACTCCAATCTCAGACTGCACTCTGCCAAGGTTAGGACAATCCTATCCTCAGCGTGGCTGGAGACTGAATGCTGCATTCTGAATACTGAATACCTGAATGAGACCCTGTTCCTGCCTTATATACCTCTCCAGCAGTGGTATTAAAGGTGTATACCACCACCGCTTAGCTTCTATAGATAACTAGTGGGGCTGGTAAGATTAAAGTAGTGTGTGTCCACTACCCTGGCCTCTATGGCTACCTTTGCATTCTGATTTTTGGAAAGCTTAATTAGATCATATGCAATATATCACTATGAATACACACTATGTACACGTGATAGATTTTTCCTTTCAAGAGTATGTAGTATCTTCCCACATTTCTTCTGATTAGGTTTGGTTTGAGTTCTATTTAGTCAGATAGTCAAAGGGATACATTGGGTTGCTTCTTAGGTCCATTTGCTTGGAGCATCTTTTTCCATCCTTTTACTCAGAGATGATGGCTAAGCTTGATTTTTAAGGTGTGTGTCTTAGATGCAGCATAAGGATGGGTATTTGTTTATTGGGGGAATTTAGAACATTTTATATTGAGAGTTATCAATGAGAAGTGTTTGTTGATTCCAAATTTTGGTGGTGGTGGTGGTGGTGGGTTTCTATCCTCCTATTTCATTTCTTGGCCTGACATTTTTATTCCTGTGTTTTCCTGGGTGTGGTTATCCACTTCACATTGAAGTTTTCCTTCTAATTTCTTCTGTGGGGCTGGATTTGTACATAGATTCTGTTTAATTTGGTTTATCATGAATGTCTTACTCCATCTATGGTGACTGAAAGTTTTGTTGGGTATAGTAGTCTAGGTGGCATCTGTGGTCTTGTATAATTTGTAGAACATCGATATGCTCAGGGTCTTTCATACGTTAAATTCTCTGTTGAGAGGCAGGTATTATTATGATATGTCTGCCTTCATGTGTTATTTCTTGTTTTACACTTTCACTTGTATCTTTTAATATTCTTTTTTTGTTCTGTACATTAATTGTCCTGAATATTGAGTGTCATGAAACTTTCTTTTCTGGTCCAGTCTATTTGGTGTTCTATGTGATCCATATAACTTGACAGGCATCTCCTTTTTTAGGATTGTGGGAATTTTCTTCTATGATATTATTTTAAAGTTTTTCTGTGACTTTAATCTGGGTTTCTTCTTCCTATATACATATTTATTTGTAGATTTGGTCTTTTCAAAGTATCCTAGTTTACCTGAATGTTTTGTGCCTAGATATTTTTAGATTTAATGCTTTCTTTGACCAAGGTATCCATGTCTTCTATCATATCTTCATTGACTGAGACTTCTGCCATCTCTTCTAATCTCCTGGTGAGGCTTGCCTCTGAGGTTTCTGTTTGAGTTACTAAATTTTTGGTTTCCACTATTCCCTCACTTTTAGTTCTTTATTGATTCTATTTCCTCTTGCAAATCTTGACCTATTTTCCTCATTTTATACCATTGCTTGTTTATGTTTTCATATATTTCTTTAAGGGATTTATTAATTTCAGCTTTCAAGACCTCTAACATAGTCATAATGTTATTCTGAAGTGCTTATCTTGTATTTCAGCTATACTGCATTTCTCAGGGACAACTAAAGTCAGGATTATGGGCTTTAGTAGATATGTATCATCCGGCTGTTACTTCCTGTGTTTATGCTGCAGTCTAGGCATCTGGTTTTGGAATTAGTATAATTCTTGGTGCTGTTACTTGTTCTTTTCTTTATCAGATGCCTGTTCCGCTCTTTGGTTTCTGTTGCCCTCTCTCATTCTTAGGAGAGTGTAGTGGCTGTGGGTTGCCTGGAAGGCTGTGATCCTTCCATGCATGGCATCTGGGGTTCCAGATAGAGTAAGTTTCTTGATATTGGGTGCTGACACATAGGCATGGAGAAGGACTGGAAGAGGAGTGGGGTGAGGAGATCCACAGTAGGGAGGAAATCAGGGTGTGCCATGAGGATCTTCTTAGTGCTCTGAGAATGGGAGTTATAGCAGGCAGATTGTTACAGGGATGGGAATGGCATTTTGGGTTGGATTTAGAGAAAAGGGGGGACATTGAAACTCTGAAAATCACCTACCTGATACAACCACCCTCTCTCCTTTGTTTCTCACCCATTTTTCTTTATGAAAAGTCTTGAGGAATGGGAGGGTTTTGTGGGAATTACCAAAACAGAGCCAGGTAAAAATACAAGGGAATTTATTAGGGAAAAACCCTACTTACAGAGCAACCTAGCCAGCTGGTAGGGCAGGAGTAAGTACAGCAAGCCAAAGATGAAATGGAAGAAGGCCTTCCACGTGCACACCCCTCACTCTTAAACCTTGCCTACATCACCCTGACCCTTCCCTTCCAGGTGTGGTCAGGCACACCTGTAGCCAGCCCCTAGCAGGCATGGTTATGGTTTTCCCTACAGGAAGGCTGTACCCTCTGATAACCTCTCCTTCCATAATATTAGGTAATAATTATCTATATGCCATCTTTTCTGGCACTTAGCTTTCCGTGAATAACTTGGGCCAGAGGTGATATGCAACAATATGAAGACAATGATTTGTATATGGAGATCAAGACAACTGACCACTTCATTGTTTTCACGGCTGTCCTGTGAAATCAGTGTGACCCTGCTGAGGAACCACTAATTCCTAGGGTTGTGGTTTCTCCTATGAAATCCAGCTGTGGGAACATCTACTTCTTGTAATGCTCTGGCTATTTTTATGATTTTCACCATCCAGAGAATTACTGGGGAACACAACACAGACTGTGTGGAAAACAGAGTCATCTGAAAGACAGATGATCAGAAGTCAGGCTTTCTTTAGCTTCTCAGAGTTTGTGCTCAGCACCCTCTGTGGTTTCTGCCACTGTGTCACTGAGAGCACAGTAGTACACAGCCGAATCTGACTCTTGAACTGATGCTTTCTGCAAGTGGAAGGAAGTGGATCCTTGATCATATGTAGCTTCAAACCCTCTGCTGCTTCCCTTGTTGTTGGCTGTTGTGACTTTCAAAAGCAGCTCTAGGCCTTTTCCAGGATATTGGACATACCAGAAAAGAGTCGGGTACCCAGTGGCTGAATAAGTGCAGTTTATTAATAGAAAATCATCTTCTGAGAGAGTCACTTGACCTTGCTTCTGAGTCACTGAATCTCCATCAGTTCCCACTGGAGGAAGAAGGGGTATCCATGTTACATTAAGGACAAAGATTTTAGATAATTAAACATTTTTTCTGACATCATAGAAAAAAGAATGCAAATTTTAAGTCACTTCACTTACCAAGCATGAACAGCAGCATCATACTTCCTAAAGCCAGAGAAGTGTTCATTTCCAGTGTCACCCAAGTAATGTTCTTGACTCTTCACTTGAAGAAATGATGAAATGACATCAAATGATGAACCTATGAAGCTTATAATTCACAAAGAAAATGATCTTGTGTCAGGAAACTCTTCCCCCTGGTGGACAGAGACTAAACTAGGGTCTCTTGCTTACCTCCCAGAAATGTGCTCTCATCCTCAGCATCATTCATAAGTGAATATGAGACTTCAAGTGTCCCTTATCAGTAAAAAGGACATGAGCAATGGCCATTAATTTATTCCATGTTGTTAATTCTTAGGATTCAACCTGACATGAAAGCTCTATAGTGGAACAACTGATGAGAGCTCTGTTTTGGTTTTTATCATAGGATAAACTAAAGGCAAAAAGTAGATTTTACCAGTTTATATTCACTGATTTGAATTCTCATTAAGATATTATGTAGGCCTAAAGTGATGGTTCAGCCTGTGAAAGCACTTTTTGCTCTTGCAGAAGGCCCAGGTTTGATTCTCAGAACACACATAGTGGTTCTCAACGATCTGTAACTCCATTCCCCTGGAAACTGACTCTCTCTTCTGACCTCCGTGGACAACAGGCATATTCTTGGCACATAAACACAAATTCAGGCAAAACACTCATACCTATAAAATAAAATAAATAAATGTTCAAAATTTCTTAAAGTTATTATGAAATGGAGTAATTATAAACTGTCCCTGGGAATGTGTAATCATTAGAATCTGCCCTTTTTACCTTCTAGAAATTTGAAATCATGGGATTGTGCTGCCCATTTACTTAGGAGGTCATTGGTATCTTGAAACAATGCTTGAAGATTTATTGTACAGCAAAGTAAGCAGTCATGACTGGCACATAGGACTCACATGTTGTGCCATGATCTGCATCAAACATAGGCTATGACCGTCTTCTTAACTCATGTCACTGTGACCAGTGGTGTGTGCTGTTAAGAATCACAAAGATGACTATCATTTGGCATTGGGGAGACATTTGTAAATCTTCCTTGTGGACCTGACAAGACATCCCAAGAAGCCAGTCACATAAGTGTCTTAAGAAAAGCTCCTTCCTTCAGGTGTCAAAGCTTTTACTCATGAGTCTAGCTTTCATGGCTCCCATCTATCTGTGGGAGCTCCTTCTATCCTTTATTTTGTTCTTAGTAATATTTCCTCATTGACAGAATTTGTCTTCTCACAAAGCTATTCTTTCTCACCTTTGTCCACAACTGTTTCCTAACTCTTGTTGCTTTTAACTTATAACTGTAATCTGTAAATGCCACCTCTGTCTCTTACAGTTCAAGGTAATAAATGTTGAGTACATCTGGATTTTCCTCACTTACAACTTCTGTAGTTTGTTTCACACTGTTTTCTATAAAAGATGTAGAATCACTTATTAAAATATTTTCTTTCTTTTTTTTTCTTTTTATAATTTCCCAGCCTTACAATTTTACACAGATTGACATACTACATATGTACCCCCTCCTACAAAGTAGACCTCAAATCCAACGAGAAAGTATTTGATTGGCCCTACAACAGTGAGAATGTAGTTGGTTGCCCCTACAAATCATCAGGTCAATATTGAACAGTGGGCACACCTTGGTTGCCACGTTGGTCCCACAGCATGATTTTGAAACAGAATATAACCAATTCCTGTAAGAATATGTTACAGCTTTTGGATTGCTGGACACACGGATGTAGTGTAGGTACTGCTGTAGTGTAGTGTAGGTACTGCTGACCGTGCCCACTTGGTCAGAGTGACATGTCAAGTGTTTAATTAGCAGACAGGCATGCACGTGGCTCTCTTATTCTCTCACCACCTGGCTGAGTGGACATCTGTGGGTCACTCCAGCTCCAGTGTAAACCTGGTCACTGGCCCTTGCGTGAGTATTATCCCTTTAATAAAATACCTGTTGTCAATCTAGTTCTGCATACATTGTGTTCAGCTTTTCATGGACTTGCTAGAATCTGCTGACAGAGAAAAGAGATAAAGGCTCACCATTTACTTCAGACATTGCTCTCCATACCTACTCACCAAACTATTCATTTCCCACTGTTTATTTAAACCAAGATATCATAGTGCATAATACACATTTAACATGTACAATAAATACGAATTTTTAAGTAATTATTCACCAGCAATCAACACTGTGTTCTGAACTTTCTGGGTAACTTTGGGCCTTATCTTATATATTTTTAATATCTATATGTTGTTTCTGTCTCAAATAAACAATGTGACAAATGCTGTCCTAGAGTGTCTGACATAGCAAAAAGGGTGTCACTCCAGCCCTGGTGACAGGTTTGAAGACAGGCTGCAGGTACCTGGGGAGCAGTGCGCATCTGCTGCACAGAAGTAGACGTCTGGATCTCCTGGCTAAGTGTTTGTGATGTACAGGGAAAGCTGTTTGTCTTCCTTATCCAACAGAAGCATAAGTCTTTGGCTCTGCTTTCTTTCCACATTTGAATGGATGTCAATAATGAACTGAAGGTGCTTCCCGGGCTTATTTGTACCAAGGGAAGTAGACTGTGCCACTGTCTGTGTAAAGTTGATGACAGCACTGGCTCCCTCCTGGACACTCAGGGTGGAAGAACACTGTTCCACCTGTTCACCGCGGCTCTTGCCTATGAAGAAAGATGGAGAGAAAGGAGAAAGGTTCTCAAACAATATTATTTCTTATTTTTCCCTATAGTAAGTATAGAAAATCCAAATGAAGCCATTCTTATGGACATCTAAGGACCTCCTGCTACCATACTCCCAGTCCTCAACTCACAGTTCACTGGCAGCCAGAAAAAAAAAATGAATAAAGTATAAACAGCCATCTTTAAACTTCCCGTTCAGGTGTTCGGTCTCTAGTCAGCAGGAGCACCTTAAAAGTTCTAATTGGCCCTTGATGTTATAACAATCATATGAGTTATTTGCCCAGCCACTAAGAAAAGGCCATTTTATTTAGAATTCACTGACATGGCCTTTCTGTGCATCAGCTGAGGGGCACTGCCACCCTGTGGTCAGACTTCTAATTGCAGAAATCTAGTTTGTTTTTCTCTTACTCTAGGAAACATTCTGAACTTAGCTCACCTCTACCATCCCTACTCTTCCAACCTAGCTGTGCTCACACAGACTGTACACTCGCTCAACCAGGTGAGTGCACTGACTTCCTACTCACCCATGTGAGCACCACAATCTCATACCTAGCTGAGACACATAGCCAATGAATCAGTCTAACCAGGTGAATACTCCAGAGCCATACTAGCCCACTCCATCTGCACATTCCCAGGCCTAGCTGTACTTACACCTCTTATGTACCAGCCCAGTTAGTTGAGAGCCTAGACCTCCATCCACTTACATCTTCCATACACTCCCAGAAAGCCTGGCTTGTGTCTTGCAGCATGCATATCACCCAGACTGATAAGTTGCCCAGTACCTCTGCATGTCATTCACACACTCCCAGTCTTAACTGGGCTTGAACATCTTTTACACCACCACACAGACACAGACATGCATCATATTCACACCGTTAGTATTCAGGTTTCTCTAGTGGCCTGTCCTTGTGGTTCTGACAGGATAGGCCCTCAGCTGTAGCCACTAAGAGCACCACCTGTGCACATTCACTATGTTCCCTTTTAAAGGGGCCGTTCCCACTTACCATCTCTCTCTTTCTCCCTCTCTCTCTCTCTCTCTCTCTCTCTCTCCTCCACCACTCTTGTACCCAGGGACCAGTCTCTGCCCCCTCTCTGCCCCTTCTCTCTCCTCTTCTAATAAA